TCTCCAATCTGGAGAAATTATTTTTGTAATGGATATATTAGACATAAATACTTTTGTTTGTAAAATATTCCATAAGAGTTTGTTAAGAAATTACTTTCCTGATCCATTTGATTCAAAAATTGTTGGAATTTATTTTTTATGTAGTTCAAACATTGGAAAAAGAAAAATTATAAATAAGAAAGAAATTAAAAGAAAAGTTGCATGTCTACCAGTCAATGATGGTGTTGTTCTCTGTACTGTATGTATATATATATATATATATATATATATATATATATATATATATATATATATATATATATATATATATATATTCAGAATGTTGGTTGACTTGGCTTTCTTTTATAAATTAGAAAGTTAGTACATGAGTTGAATTAATTATTTTATATAAAAAATTTTATATAAAAAAAGTTTGTCATAAAAAGTTCTATAATTTTTTGTTTTTGTTATTTTTTATTATAATTATTTTAATAGTTTTACATAATATTGATATTGTTTTTAATAACATAATATAATTTTTAAATAATTTTATAAATTTATTAAATTTTTTTGTTAGTATGAATAGTATGTAGTATGAATAAATAAAAAATTACAAAATTTGTTTATTACATTATAGTGATGATGATTTTCAAATTGCTTTAATAATTCAAATAGTAATGCTGTTTGTTTATATAAAACAATGTTAATTGTTAATGTTTTTGAATTCATATTTCCTATTTAGATTTTAAAAATTTTTTAATGACTAATGGAGAACTTTTACAATAAAAAGTAATTAGTTTAATTTATTTTTTATTTAAATCAACAAACATCATTTTTTGTATAAATTTTTGGTAGTTTTTCTTTTAAATATAACAATCATTTCCTGCTATACTTAATATTTATTTTTTAATTATGACAATAAAATAATTGACAACTTATGTGTGATTTTTTACTGGTATAAAAAAGCATTATTCAATAATCTTTTCACTCAGTTTTTGAAGATAGAATACACTTAGAAAAATGTAAGTTTCTTTTTGATTTATTAATAAATTAAAAAAATCATTAATATATTTTTTTTAATCAGTTGTAATGTTTGGTGGTAAGTTGAATTGTATTTATATAACTTATTTTCTTTTTAGTTATTTTTTTTATGTAATTATTTTTGATAAATTATTGTATTAAAATGTAATTGCCTTTATGTTTTAGATTTCTAATCAAAATGTCATATTCTTTGGTTTCTCTTGTGGAAAAAAACAAAATAGTTGTAGATGCTGTTGTACCTAGTCATTGGATTAAAAATGACAGAGTATTTTGGCCTGAAGGTGCATATGTAGAACGAAGTGCTAAAAACTTGGATGAGTTAGATGAAACCTGGCCTTTATATAAGTTAGTTAAAGTTAAATTTACTGCAGGTAGAATGTTTTACCAGTAAATGATTTTTTAAACTGTTTTGAATAATTAAAGCCATAATTTTGTAGGTAATATACTGTTTAAGATAAATACAGATAATTTATTTTAAAAAGAGTCAGTCTGTATATGGTAATTTAATCTCATTAGATGACTATGAATGGATCAAAGGTGTAGTAATGTCTTCTACTGAATTTGACAGTGATGATGATACAGAAATAAATCAAACAACAGGTAACATCAAACTTATTACTTTTATATAACAGCAACAATATTTTTTAATTATAATTAAAAATTATCATACTGTCTTTGTTATAAAAAATACTTTAATGTATATTACAAATCAAAAATAGCAATACTCTTTGGTATTAAAATAAAATGCATATATTCATTATCCTATGTTTTAATTTTTGATATACTGATTTAATTTTATTTTATTTAGCAAATAAAAAAATTGATATACCTAAACCTTTTACAAAGTCAATGGAAACTATAAAAAGCAAATCTGGTCAGAAACATTTATTTGAAATTTCTTACCGTACAATAGCATTCATAAATATATATATATATATATATATATATATATATATATATATATATATATATATATATATATATATACATATATGGATATATATATATATATATACATATATGAATATATATATATATATATATATAATATATATATATATATATATATATATATATATTCATATATATATATATATATATATATATATATATATATATATATATATATATATATGAATATATATATATATATATATATATATTCATATATGTATATATATATATATATATATACATATATGAATATATATATATATATATATATATAATATATATATATATATATACATATCCATATATATATATATATATATATATATATATATATATATATATATATATATATATATATATATATATATATATATATATATATATATATATATATATATATATATATATATATATATATATATATATATATATACATATCCATATATATATATATATATATATATATATATATATATATATATATATATATATATATATATATATATATATGGATATGTATATATGTATATGGATATATTATATATATATATATATATATATATATATATATATATGGATATGTATATATGTATATGGATATATATATATATATATATATATATATATATATATATACATATATATATGTATATATTTATGTATATGATATATATATGTATATATTTATATATATGAAATAGTTGACCTACCTATTCCTCAAATAAAGTCAATGAAAAGAAAATTAGATCAATCTGCTGGTTAGTATTATATGGTTTTGTTTGCTATTTTCAAGGAGAGTGTAGTGTTGGGGCAATGAATGTATGCCCTGATGTTCCAAGTTTTTTAATATTTATTTTTTTAACTGTTTTTTTAAAGAATTAAATATTATATCAAGTATTACTAACTCTGCTTCCTCAAGCACATCATTGAAGCCTGGAAACACACAAAATTTAGCAGGTAGTTGCAAAAAGATGTATCCTTTACCAGATGCAGGTATATTGTTTGTTGCCATTATTATGTTGCTTGCAATTGCAATATGTTGATTTGCAATATTAGCTAAATTGTATTTAACTAATGTTTTTTTTTTACTTTTCAGAGTTTCAGAGAAAAGTTATGTTTCAATTGGCTGAAATAAAAAACTTGTTGATAAGTAGAACAGCACAGTTTTCTAACGATTCAGAGGAAAACATTAAACAATGTAAAAGTTCAGAGGAACTTCATGTTTTAGAAAAAACAATTGAAGACGGGGATATTCAATACAGTACTTTTGTATGCTTGAATATAATTATTTGATTTTTTATGTTGTCAGTCTTTTTTTTAATTGTCTTAACCAGTTTTGATGTTTATATTGATAGAGATAATATTATCTTATTGGTTTGTAGGTAAATCAGTTATCGTCAATTGGCGGAAGAAATCCAGCTAATACAATAAAAAATATTTTACTGACGTAAGTTACCAGCATTAATTTGTATTTTGAAGCTGAAATAGGTTATATTATTTAGAAGATTTTGATTTGTTTTTATTTTTCCTTTTTTGAATTTTCAGACCTCTAACGGTTTAATGAATATCTAAGATGTATACAACATAAAATTTCTAAACACTGTTAATAATATTTTTGTATACTTAGAGTGACAACAGACAATGTTTTATCAGAATATAGTATGAATGGATTAAAGAAAAAGAAAAAATTTAAAGAGCTAATAAATCTATGTAATGCTATCACCGGTATATACTTTAGCTTATTTTATTCAATTAACTTAGCAAATTGTATTCATTAAATTTTGTTTCAAATTTATTACTTTTTTTTTACTGTTATGCATTTCTAGTCGTTGTGACATTGAATAGCACTGACTTTGTGTTGTTGAATTTTTTTAACTTTATTTAATAGATACTGTTTTAAAGTCTAATAAAAACCTGACTAAAACAGAAGCAATGCAACTTATTGGGAGTGTTATTAAGCATTCATCCGAACGACTAAAGGGATCGATTATCGCTGGTTGAATTCAATTATAAATTAAAATTAAAATTTTTGTAAATTATTTAATTTAAGATATATTATCTATAATACTTTATATTCTTCTTTTTCTTCATGAATGTCTCTATAACTAGATAGAATTAATTGCAATTGTATACGGTAAAAAAAAAAGACGAATTCCTTTAAAGTTTTACTTCAAACAGTTTTTACTTATTTAATTGAAACACAATTTTATTTGTGTCTTTAATTTTTATCTTTATTTATATAATATTAATTGTCTTTAATTATATAATAATTTATGTAAATAAAAATTATTTACAATTTAAATTCATACGTCTTGCAATAAGACGACCTAAGGACGAAAAAAAAAAGATGTGAGAAATAATTACACTTAAGACCACCAGAGACGTCTGTAGGACGAATAAAAATACGTCTTAAGAACGTCTGTATAAAACATCTTTCGGACGTCTGTAAAAGACGTCTTAAAAACGTCTTGTAAAGACGTCCTTAGCACGTCTAATAAAGACGTCCCCAAGCCTTTCATTTAAGACCAACTACGTACGTCTTATGGACGAGACGTAAGACGTCTTATGGACGTCCTTAGGACGTAAAAATGCCCGCTGGGTAGGCAGAAAAATAAATAAATAACGAAACAAATGAAATTGTTGAGTAAACTGTAGTCGCAAACACAAATGGAGCTATTGACGATAATCAAAATGATATTCCTTCATGGCAAACCGCACAAATTATTCAACCCACGGCTTGTGAATGTGGTAAAATTCATCAGGAAGACCCTTTCAATTATCAATTGCCCACTTTCATACGGGAAGGTCTGGGAACGAATAATTGAGCTGTAGGGACAAAAAATATTATTGCGATTGTTTACATATATATTAGTTTAAAGTAGAGCGATATAAAGTTTAAAGTAAAGCGATATAGAATTTAAAGTAAAGTGATATTAAGTTTAAAAAGTAATATAAAGTTAACTATTAATTTACTACTACTGTTTTAAAAGTATATTTGTAAATGGAGCTAAGTATTAATGTTGTAAACATTTCAACAGCTTCAAGAAAGATTTGTGTTGAATGGCTTGTAAACCACGGACTTGGTGTCACAGGCTCTGTTGAAGAATTGCAAGCAAGAATTTTGAAGTTTTTACCATATCCAAAATTAGTTGAAAAACTTTATCGAAAAGCAAAAAAAAAATTCTTGTTCTCAACAAGTTTGCATGAAGACGAGATACCACACATATCTCAAAATTGGACTGACAATGAAAACCTCTACCCTTATGTAAACTCTAAGCTTTTTAAAGAATACATTCTCAATAAAAGAGAGGGTACATTTTGACAACAGCAAAAAGCATACCAGATTTTAACAAGCAGAAAAATTATATCTGTTAAAACCCATTCAGATAGCAATAGAGTATATGTAAGAGCTTTTATAAGAAAATTTTATGGCTAAGATGTACGTCCTGCTATTTTACTTTTTGTAGGAGGAACACCCCTAAAGGGTTATTGCGAATGTCCTGTTGGTCTTAGTGGACTTTGCTGTCATGTTTTAGCTATCCTTCTTTACCTAAAGCATTATGTGGACACAAAGACAACAATTTTAAAATTAACGTGTACACAAGTCATACAGAAATCGTATATTAAGAACTTGTTGAAACATCAATTCCTCCATTAAAATTGGTTTAAATATTTAAAAATATTTTATAGAAATATTAGATAAAAATAAATAAGATAAAATTATATGCTTATATATATTCACAAAATATTATTTATTACAAAATTCTTCCTTTGGCCCAATAGGGCGCATTGTAAGGTTTACAACGTGACATAACATTTTCCATGTTGAAGAAAGTAAGTCCATTCTTTGTAAAGGCCACACAGCATTAAGAATTGACCAATCACGTACGCGTCCTATGAATCTCTCTACATGAATACGGGTAGAAGCTATATCAATATTACCAGCTATGTCAGCTTGTGGGAACTGATGGCTTGATTTCTGAGATGGACGGTTTAGATATATTTCTTTTGAAGCACATAAATCTTGAATTGAAAACCCTCTATCATAATTTCGTGTTCTTAATTTCGTGTTCTTTCTCAACTAGTTCTAAAATATGAGATTGTTCTATTAATTCATTATCTGTGATAGAACCAGGATATATGTCTACAAAAAGCAAACCTGAACCATGTGGAGAGATTCCAATTAAAGCTTTCCCTGTTGTACAGTTTTTATAACTTGAAAACATTAAAGTGTTTAGGTCATAATTGGTTGGTTGTTGAAATTTAAATTCAGTAGCATCCACGACAATATCGGTTTCACCATGCCCAGTTTTTTTAAAAACAGAAGGCATCATCAAGGAAATATAAGTGCTTTCAACCTTTAAATTTACCTCTGAAAATATTGCGTCTATAAATACAACCCACCCAGTGAAAATACGATACATGGTGGTTTCAGCAACACCCACCATAAATCCAATAACACCAAGATGATGTGCATGTCTGCACAATGTTAAAACTGAAAACAACTCAGTTTTCTTATCAAGGAATCTGATTCCTGTACCTTTACAATCTGGATATTCAATTAAGTAACAGTATGGATCTACGCAATTATATAAGAGTTCAAATTGCTGGATAGATAGACCACATAAATATTTAAATTGCTTTGGTTTGTCTTTAAGTTTGGAATATATAAACATTCCTTTTTCGAATTTGTCTAGTTTTTTGTTTAAAATTTGATTTCTTACAGATAAACTTAAATAATCTGTATGTAATATATTGTTCTTTACTTTGTTTACTTTTTTTTTCACTTTTAAGTTGTTTTATATAGTTGTTTGCGTTGTTTAGTTTTTCTTGAAGAATTTCATAAGCATCTGCTCCTTTTTTTAATTTAGAAAACAACTGTTGTTTAGTTGGTTTACGTAATGATAAAGGAGGTTTCGTAACATAAACAGATCAGTTTGTGGGTTTTTTACGAACAAGACAATGTTTAGACAAAGATATCATCATATCAAGCTTACGTTTCAACCTTTTCAAATTTTTTTTTTCAGCTTCAGTCGCTTTTTGTGATGTAGTCATTTTGGTCAGAGCATTTGTGTATTTTCGTTCCATTATAGCAATTTGGCTTGGTGGTGCAGCTATGTCTGGAATATCAGTGCATAACTCTCTAATTCCAGATGAAAAATGTTCACAACAAATATGCCCATTTTTGAAATTCATTCCTTTTGTATGTAAAATTCGAATATATTCTTTCTGTAAAAAAACATCTTTAGGAAGCCTGTACAACTTAATACGTTCTCCGTTAGTAGTTTTGCTTCTAAAGTTATTAAAACATAATGATGCGCTACAAAACCAGTGAACCATTGATTTAAGCAATACAATAAATTAATTTGATATCTTATTATAATATTTAATATCTTGTTAGTTTATAGTAAATAATAGTTACATTACCGCTAACTTATTTTTGTAACTTAAATAAAATAAACCTTTGTTTTGACTTTTATAAATTTTTTGACTCGATGATGTTAAGCACTACTATTTTTTTTAGTTGTTTAATCGAGAAAAAACGCATAATCTAGAAACCATATCTGATTGGCTAGAATTTTGTCCCTACAGGCAATATTCGCGCGTCGTATGATATTGGCTAATGGATAAATTGTAAAAGTAGATGTGGTAAATGGTATTGTGGTACTTGTTTTTTTTTTTGTAAATGTGATATAATTTCAATTTGAATTCAAATGTTTTTGAATGCAAATGTAAGCAGTTATCTGTTGAATAAAAATCCGAAATTAAATGAATGCGCGTGTATGTGATTATTTTTTTTATATAAAAAAAACGATATATTTTCACAAAATTTTTTGCATAAGTTTTTAATGGAATCCGAATTAACATGCACTGCTTGATATTTCGAATTTTTTAGTAGTGTTTTTATTTTAATTAAATTCGTAAATAAAAAATAGTACTTTTTTTTTTAAATGGTAAGTTTTTATGCAGCTTGTCGAGATCTACAAGATTATGTAAGAATATTTTTAAATTCTTAAAGTTTAAATATCCTAGTTTTCTTTCAAAGATAAAAACGTCTGAAATATGCCTAACTCACGTTATTACCAATTGAATCTAGAAAATTGTCAAAGTTAGCTTAAAAAGATTATTTTTTCTGTAGTAAATGTCCCGTGTCACGGGACATTAGACCGAAACAACAATTTCATGATGTCCTGTCAGGCGGGACATTGGACCTCAAAGGGTTAATAATAGGTAGGGTTAAATTGGGTAATATGAGCACTTAGGTAATATGAGTATACCAAAAGATTTCTAAGATGTGAGCAATAAAGTTCAAGTTGCTTTGTATTTTTTGAATTAAATTAATGTGGGAATAGACAAAACAGTATAACTAGCGTGAATTTATACGCGATTTTTATCTAATTAAAACGCTATTCATATACTTGTGTTGTTAAAATATTATCATTACACATAAAGTTTTAACTTTAATAAACAAATTTACATAACAACACTTTTAAAATACAATCTAAATAGATCCACTTTGCACATTTTCTAAACCAATATCATTAGCGCAGTAGTTCTTAAATGGAGTTCGTGAGCCTTTTAAACAGAGCAGGTAGGCTTGCGTAACCTCCATTGAGACGTGCCCTTGACCAATTTATAACTGTTCCGTACCTTTCAGACGGTTTATGTGCCAGTAGTGTTATGAAGCGTTTACATTTGTGTCCCTACACATAAAAGAATCAGTGGTGCGAAATTATGACGTTGAAATACCGATATATATTTTAAAGAAAAAATATATTAGCTAGGAATCCATTCCATTTTTATTTGGAAAAAAAAATTCCCAGAAGCATTTATTTTTGACTTCATTTAAAAAACACTATTTTTCTGTAATATGAACTTGCTCAAATTACCCAGTGTTTTTCATTAAAATGTCTTTTAGCCCTTTGAAAAAAAACCAAAACATAGTAAAAATATTCACCATTTTATAATAGTAATAAATATCTTTATGTTATTTGAATTAAAAAAAAAAATAATTTTATTGTTTAAAAGTTTGAGTTTATAAAATTGAAAAAATAACGAATTAAATTTTTTTATTTTTTTGCGCAAAACGAAGTTATATTGTTTCAATTAAAAGTGGCGTAAAGTTTAATCTTTTAAATATAACTTTTGTTAATAATAAACCTTTATATATGGTCTGGGTAATATGAGGTCATATCATCTGGTCTGGGTAATATGAGCACTTTCACTACTTTTTAAGAATCTTTGATAAGAAATTTCGAGCGCCCAAATATTTAATCATGTTAGATTAGTATCATGAGTAGCATTTTTAAAAAAAAATTAATTCTCAAAATTTTGGATTATTGTTGAAAACATTCCAATTTTCGCTTAAAATGCTCATAACACCCTAATTTACCATACTTAAATAAATTACCTTACTTGAGTAACTTACCCTACTTAAGTAATTTACCCTACTTAAGTAAACTACCCTACTTAAGTAATTTACCCTACTTAAGTAATTTTAATTTACTACTTAAGTAATTACTTAATTAGGGTAAATTAGGGTATTTTGAACATCTTAAGGAAAAATTGGAATACTTTTAAGAATAATAATATTATTAAAATATCGATTTTAATATTAACAGTTTAATATTAATAGTATAATAATTAATATTACTAAAATTTAAGAATAATAACAATTTGTAACAAGTACTTGTTACAAATTGTTGCCTACTTATTACAAATGCACAAGCTGTGTTAGATTATAATAATTTATTTAAAAATGACATTAGAAAATATATTTGGTATGAATAACTTGTAAAATAATAATTTATTCATTTATAACGCTAAAAGTGTCTTAGCAAGATAATATATATTACCGTCCATAAGTTTAATCGCACTTATTTATCTTAAATTTAAGACAATTTGAAGATAAAAAAATTAACCGATACTGAGGAACTAACGCCAAGATAAGTTTAATTACGTTATGAGGTATAATATTTTAATAAACACATCAACGCTAATTTTGAAGTACCGTGAAAATAATAAC